AGGGCGAAGACGGGGACGGGGACGGGGACGGGGACGAGGACGGGGACGAGGACGAGGACGAGGACGAGGACGAGGAAGAGGAAGAGGAAGAGGAAGAGGATGAGGATGAGGATGAGGATGAGGATGAGGATGAGGATGAGGATGAGGATGAGGATGAGGATGAGGATGAGGATGAGGATGAGGACGAGGACGAGGACGGAAGCGAGTACCAGGACAGCGAGCTTGACGAAGGAAGGGTCCAAGGCGACGAACATAGGAAGGAGGTACGACGCACAAAGGTCAGGCGCGAACTCTCAGGGTCATCTAAACAGCAGCCCGTTCAGGCGGCAGATCCTCCCTTTGCGTCATCCGATCCAAGGCCGCCTTTATCCTCGATGCCTACCGCGCCTCAGCAGTCGTCGTCGTCGAGCAAGTACCTTCCCAAGACGAGTTTTCTGTCGAGAGACCAGTTCACTCTTTCCGAAGGGCAACTGCTTATTGCTGGGAAGCCCTTGACCTGTGATCATTCGCCATTCCAAGACCGGGAACAGGAGATGCATCTACAAAGCTGCCCGGTAGTCAACCACTTTTGGTACTTGCACAGGCTGGGTGGGTTTATCGCTTGCGAGCTGGATCACGAACTCTACGCTGGAAACGTTAAGGCACTCAAGAGTCACATCAGGAAACACTTCACCCTAACAAATGGAAAGCGGCCTAGCCCCAAGGTGATCGAAGCAATCGCAACGCACCTCCTCCTTGCGCACAAAGACGACAAGGAGCCGTACAAGGGCGACGACGATCTGAAGGGAATGCTCAAAGCCACACGGGAACAGTCACTCTCAGTTATCGACAACAATCCACCTTCCCCGTTTCTCCCCCCCTCTTCTTGGCATACCCCACTCGATCTCGAAGTACGCTTCAAATGTGGACACAACGGATGCACGAGTTGGAGTGTCTACAAGGCCGCGCCTTCCAGATCTAGACGCGATGGGACCTCGACGGAGAATCAAAAATGTCAAGCCTTTTTACACCATCTCGGAGCGCACGAAGACATAGTAGTCCCCGATATCAAGAAGCTTCAGCAGTGGCCGAAACGATGGACGTTCACATGGAACAATACGTTTTTCGGACTCCCGAAGAATTACACTCCGCCGCCGCCACCGCCACAGCCGGAACCAGCCCCTCACTTCTCCACGATTCAACCTCACTCAGATCCAGCAGCAGTAGAAACACAACACGACCCTACGACGATTCTTCCCGAGACCTTCTACTCCGACGTACTGGGCTGGGGCTTTTGGTTGAAGCAGCAGAGGTGTATCGAGCCTGCGGTTTTCAGTTGGTTGGGCCAGAGCCCTTATGTCGCTCTAGACGATATAAGGCATGGTCGAGCCGAAGAACGCTCGCAGTTCCGTCCGCATGAGGAAGTCCTTTGTAGAGGCCTGAAGGAAGTCGTATCAACATCTGCCTCCTACATCAACGATGCGAATCAGGTTCTACATGGTGGCCATCGACAGATACGGGATATCGTCGCGGTGGACGGATCGTGAGTTCTTTATGTTATTGGTTGGCGAGAAAACCAAGCCTCATTCTGTGATACAGCTCTGCACACAAAACACATTATATTAAGCTCTCCAAGAAATCCGTTCATCGATATGGCTCAACACTCGCTAGGTCAATGCATGTTCTCATTCGCTGGGAGTTCCTCCGCCGCATATCTTCCTCGATGAGGTTTCCAGGCCTCAAAAGTGGATTCGACAAGAGCCCGCCATTTCCGCCTAACCAGATGAAGCTCGGTTCAAAGCTTTTCGCCCTTGTTATAGCAGTCGGCGAGGGGAAGATCCAGCCGGGCGAAGAGTTTCAGCAGTCCTTTCATAAACTCGCTGAGGCGATTTTGGTGACGAAGCTTAGTGACTACAAAAAGTCGGACGAGGCTATCTTCGGCGCCGTTGATGTCGCGTTGATTTCCTTCTGTCTTCGCCCGGATGGAACTTTCAGACCAGATATCACATCTGGCTCCTTAGAGATTCCCAGGCAGAGATACGGACTCCGGACAGTGCTGGTACATCTCGGCAGGTTGGACGGACGAGAGTATTCGATGCCCATTGAACAGGCCGGAGATGAGGATGACGACGAGTCGGATCCAGAATTTGTCGATGAGTTCGATGAGTACCTCGCGCTTACCGGAAGCGAGACTATCGCATGCGCAGCCGTCCTTGCAGATGTGGCGTATGGGCCTGAGCCAGAGGAAGGTCTTAGGTTGGAAGAGGAGGAGACAATTGGGACGGGCTCGACGGATTACATGGACATGAGCGCAGTCGATGTTGCTTCCTTCTTTCGGGTGGAAGTGGATGAGCATGGACAAGTGGTTGATGGGGAGGACGATGCAGAGCTGGCGAGTTCAGCACCAGAATGTAGGAGCATGTTGAGGTACGTCCATGACAAGTCTTACTGTATTTCCTCCGCTGATACCAGCAAATGTTTTCAGTGTGATAAAGGAGCTCATCCAGACTGTCACCCCGGCGACTGAGAATTCCGACTCTCGGTTCCGTTCGTACGCTTATGGCAGAAGCAGCAGTGTATGGGGAGCTTTCTACAACGAGTCTCTGAAACAACCCAGTCCTGTCCAGTTCCATTGGGCGCCGGGCAACGATCTCATTCTCCATATCATCTGGCGTACCCGCCAACAACGACAGGTTCTGGACCTCAGTAACTGGCGCAAAGGCATCAAGCTGGTTATAGGAGACCTCCATGGGCATGTACAGGACATTCTCGGTGACGATCCCGACCTTAATTTGCAGAAATGCAATTCCCGAATCCCCTCTATCATCAAGGACGACTCTGCAGGCTCTTTCATGGACGATGACACCAATCTCGCCCCTCTCCTTCAGGATATTACGGAGAAGATTTATCTTCGCTTCAAACAGCGTCTACGTCGGACGAAACTTCTCGGCCCAAAGAACCCTATGATCAAAGACCTCCTCAGACAGGACCTCCTTGTTCAGGAGGATCTTGCTTTCATTGTGGCGACCTCGATGGGCTATTCACCACGTAGCTTTCAGCAACTTGACATGCAGATCAGAGAGACGCTCCCGACTTTGGACTCCCCTGGCTCCCCCAGATGCTTTAGGTTCATCATGAATGAGCTCACGTTTGCTTTTCCACCAAAGAAGGGCTCCGATCAGACCAGGCGGCAGGAGACGTTATGGAAGGTCCCTGACGATGTGGCCCCAATCCTCATCATCTACTATGGAGCAATACGCCCCTTCCTCATTCGTGTTCTCCAGCTCGGGACAGTCACCGCATCGGATGTCCGTGATTCTGGTGCTCTGGAAGGGTTGCGGATACACCCTTTTGTGCACGCACAGCTTTCGAGGGGCATGACCGGTCGTCCTTGGCAGGCCAAGCACCTAAATGCTGCTCTGGGCAGTGTAATCAGCCGTATTGAATCTCGAGCTGGACAGCTTATCTCCAACGTAGACGGAAAGCTTCTTCGACAGATTTTTCAGGCCATCATTAGGAAACATCTTCCCGCTATCGCTGGAGGACTGCCAGGCTCAAGCCGCATACAACAGGAGAGGGCAGACACTCCGAGTACCATCGCCAATACACTTACTGCGTCCGCCGGCCACACTGCAGCCACCGAGGCCATGAATTATGGACGACTAGCAGATGGTCAGCCCCACCCTTCCCAGACAATGTCAACCGGTCAAATTGTCCAGTTCATCGATGTTAGTAGAGCTTGGCAATGGTGGTTAGGTATCGGGGACATCACGGACGACTTCCTACGACAATACAATATGACTCTCCCTTTGGCTAGTGAGGAGTGGTGTAACCAGGTTGCATTTGACCGTGCACGACATCTGGCGCGGTTGATCATGGGCGGTTTGAATGCAGATGATGCGAAACAGAAACTTGTGTATCTAAATGATAGGACACCATTTTTGAGAGGTCTCGCTGTGAGTCATCTGTCTGTAATCAACATCTTCACTCTCTGACTACTGTGCTATGTCTAGCCTGAGCTGGATTATCGCCCGGGGGAAATCCAGCAATGTGTTGTCAGCGAAACATGCCTTCTTGACGTGTCGGCGGCTGTTCGGTATGGATACCTTCGCCCGTCACAGCAGACGCCGGCCCCACCACAGGGCTACCAAGTTTCAGTTGTGGCACAAGCATGGGTTATGGTATGGGATAGTTCGCCTAGCTTACAACATAACTAATCAGTTTCCTTTGTTTTCATAGCTCTTTGTTGCCTTTTCTGAGTATCGTTCAGGGTCTTGGGTACCCATCACTCTTAATGATGCAGAGGTGCAGACTTGGATGGATTCCACACGATCCGAATTTGCCACTCAGCTTACCAGCCTGAAGACAAAGTTTCCCGACCAATGGAATCATTTTGGCGAGAGGATCCATGCGCTCGCCAAAACATCTATCAAGGACCGAATTGATAGGTGCACATCGGTTCTTGACCTGCCCGAGGCTGTTCATCGTGAATGGTAGGTCACCATTAGGCAGGGTAGTTTGATAGTAAGGTTGAGGGTCTTGCAATTGCGGGCGCTGGACTGCGCGTAGTTCGGTTTATCTGCTTGTCTTGTTTTACCTAGTTTTGCCCCCATCACTATCTTCCACCGGTCCCTATCCCATATCAATTGCTACTCCTAACCATTACTCTTCACCTGTCATGGCCAAGGCCTATAGTGAAGAGGAACGATTGTCTTCCTCGATCTTTGAGTCTGGATTTCGAGACTACGGCTGTCCGAACCGTGACGACGCCGGCCACCCCTCGGATAGCGATCTTCCTCTTGAGCAATCTACAGCAAAATCGCATGGGCACGTAGCTAGAGTAGAGGGCATGATGTGCTCCAATTGCTATGGCAAGAGAACGTTTCCAAAAATCAGAAAAGTTATTGCAACTTGGGCCTAACTGAAAGAAGACGATGGACCACGCCTGTGTTGGCTTGCAATTGAATTGTGTCACCATGGCGGACGCTGTGTGCACCCCACATAACTCGACCACCCGCTTTGTCAAAATAAGTACCCATGGCGCATAATGTCGATGCCAGATTAAGCTTGGAACGCATGCATCAAGGCGAAGCCCACGAACCCTGCATAACAACGGATCAATTCTAAATTGAAATATGAAATTACAGTACTGAGCCAGAGCAAATTTTACGAAGAGCAAGCCATCCTGAATTCGAAGTCACGGTACAGTAAGACTCGTCAGGGCATTGCACTGCACTCTCTCCAAAGATAGAGCGAGGCCAAGTTATCAAAGACATTTTAAGTACACCGAATACCTCGGGATACACTATTGGTCAAGGTCTAGCGTACTCATGCTCATGGGGCTGAACATAATCTGGCTCTCTCCGTCCTCCAAAACCCAGTGTCCACGTTCAATTCTGTTGGTCCTCTCAGGATTGCCGACCGAGCCCATCCAGAGCTGCGCCATCCCCAGCATTTCATCTCCAGCTGCTACCTAAAGTTGAGGAGTCATTGATGCCGTGCAGTGAGCCGTGATACACCTATCGTATGCCATGAAGTACCACGTCAAAAAACCATGAGTCGACCCGTAAGACGTGATACCAGGATGAATTTGACACTCACAGGGTGACCAGCATATCCACTCATTGTAGCAGCATATAAGGCGAATATGTATCGATGCCCACCACAAGTAAGCTTGCCGGAGCGCGTTCTAGGGCTTCCAGCAGGGCCATCAGATCGCGCATAGAGCGTATCCATGATGGTATACCGCATTGGTTTCGATAATCGCGGTATATGATGTCTTGGATGCGAGACAGAAGGACGAGCGTGGGCAGGGAGCCCGTGAAGGACGTCAGGTTTGAAGAGGAAGTCGAGTTCGGCAACTGTGTAGTTCTCGATAGGTAAAACTCTTCGATTGGCGAGTGGCGCACATACGCAAAGAGGATTGGAGTGGGCATGATATCGATGTGTGACTGGTGAATAGTAGAAAGACTATAAGTTCTACTGTCTGACATATCCGAAAGGCGCATCACGTTGTCAGGTCTGCGAAATCCGAGCATGGACAATGATTTAGGGAGATCAGAGGTAATGGAAGTAATGATGGTGCGAATAGCTCGGGATGACACTGTGGGGACTACGGCGGCTCGGCGCATACTGGTGAGGGACATCGACTGGTGCCACCGGCTATGGAGGACCACCTCGTTCAACGGCGCGCGCAAAAAAGTGGTGCGCATGATCTCCGAGGTGCAGAGCTCAATCCAATGTATACTCATCGGTGAAGTAAGATGCGGGCGAAGCTGGCGTAGCAAGTGCTGCGCTGAGCGAGTTCGAACATGGGTGTTGTCGGATGAATTGTCGATATCGATGGTGACGGTAGCGCGAGAAGATACGCCCCTGAACTCATAAGATAGTGAGCGCCATGTCGTCGTAGCGGTAAGGTCAGCCTCATCGATAGTGACAGCGAGGTCGTCAGAGTCGAGTGCGACAGACATCGTGAATTGGAGCATGAGAAGCAGTGACCAGAGCTACGCTGCGTTGAATGAGACCTCGAGGATGCGAAGCAGCGACGAGACCATCCCTGCGTTAAATCAGATTTCGAAAACAATGCAAACGTCTGAGCCACTTACAGTACAATGATCTTTCGTGTGATCATGAAAGGAAACTAACGGTTGAGTCCATACCTATAACTACAATCGGCTTTATGGTGTACCCGAAGATCGTGTTTCTTTCTTGGAGTTCGCGTAGCTGAGGAGACTGGAAGCCTTCGAGTCCTGGTTACTATGACTGGCTCAGGCAATTCCGCAGAGCGTAAGGGCACTTCAGAAGAGCTCAGGGTTAGACATGGTGATCCTCGCGCCGGCCGGTTGAAACGATATCGAATGGGATACTTCGTGAACGGGACTGGGGCCACTGTGGCACGTGTGACAGCGGGCGACGTCGGCGGTTCTTGTCACATTGTCACATTCATCGGGCAGTGCACAAGGCGTGGACGCGTCTTTCAACCGACGTCGTCGTCGTCGTCGTCGTGGCGGCGGCGTCGGAGCTTCGTCAACGCGTGGTTTTACTCTACTGGTGATCCCTGTCTATTGTCTCTCTACTGCTACCTCAGTGTCGACTCGGATGGTGTCCTCCCTACGTTACCCTCACCTACACCCCGTCTGGCCAGAGCCGTTGGCGCAGGGACTATGTTCCCTGAAGAGATAGCTTAGTCCAGACGTGTGGAAGGCTGACCACTTCGATATATCCCCTCGATAATATCGCTTCTCCTGTTTAGCTTTGGAAAAGGATCGAAGGAACGGTCGAGCCTCCTGCTCGTTCCAGAGGTTCG